AAATTAACGAGAACAAAGGTCCCGCTCGAGCGTGATTGATTCGATCGTTCAGCCATCACCAAGCGTTTAAGCCGCAAATCCGGAGTTTGAGGTTGCGCTTTTTTTTTTCTTCTTTTTCTTTCCCCCCCCCCCCCCCCCTCCTTTCTTTTTTTTTTTTTTTTTCCCCCCCCCCCCCCCCCTCCTTTCTTTTTTTTTTTTTTTTTCCCCCCCCCCCCCCCCCTCCTTTCTTTTTTTTTTTTTTTTTCCCCCCCCCCCCCCCCCTCCTTTCTTTTTTTTTTTTTTTTTCCCCCCCCCCCCCCCCCTCCTTTCTTTTTTTTTTTTTTTTTCCCCCCCCCCCCCCCCCTCCTTTCTTTTTTTTTTTTTTTTTCCCCCCCCCCCCCCCCCTCCTTTCTTTTTTTTTTTTTTTTTCCCCCCCCCCCCCCCTTTTTTTTTTAAACGATCAAATATATATACATATGGAGATTTTACATCGCCTCGTCGTCGTTGTCCCCATCTTTGTCAATCTATCCAATTTTTTACGGTTCTGTAATCACGCATAACGATCAAGCTCGATTTGATAAATCATTGCGGTCACTTTTAATGATTCGTTAAGGTTAACACCGTTGGCGTGCCGGATAATGGCGTTCGATATTAAAAATAGGATCCCTCCCGATTTTAACCCTGATTTTTATTTTAGATTTTTCACAAGTATTCGCGTGCTTCGTATCACCGCCTCGTCAAGTTGAGCTATTTATTAATAAAATTGTGTCACGTGAGGAACGATGATCGTTGTGCACTCTCGTAAGTTTGCCTTGTTACAAGCTTGTACTTTCTTTTTTTTCTTTTTTTTTTAAACGGATTAGAGGAAAAGGAATTTTAGATTAGATTGCGGTTTATGCAAATTCGTATTTTTATATTATTTTTTATATTTTTTCTTATTTATGAATAAGGAATGGAACATAAGAGGTTGGAGATTCGTTTCACTGTTTCGATTCGAGTTTAGTTTGGATATTTTGGATTATACATTCGCGAATTTATTCTTTTTATTTGGATGGAAATATCAATATCAATGGAGACATTTATTGAATAAGAAAATTCTTGAAATTTATTATTGGTAACGATAAACAAGAAATAGGAAACGAAGAAAAGCGTTAGAAAATTCAATAACAACTTTTCAGAAATTTAACGAATTTAACTTTGCAATAAAGATATCACATTGAAAAATCTATTTTTGTTTCTGAACAATTGTTATTTACTTATTTATTGTTCCTCTGCATATTTCTATACGTGGAATTATAACTTGGAAGAAACTAATAATGGTTATATAATCTCACGAGAATCTATCGCGTTTCAAAAAATCGACGTTGATGGAATAGACTGTAAGTGGATGGTTTGATTTGTAATAAAAAGGGCCCGTTGAACGGGAAATTCGGTATTATAGCAACGAGCCAATTGGCCCCGATTTACATTTCCCTCGCCACCGTTACGTCTCCACCAATATCGGTAAGTTGGAAGCGTAAATTTTGGAACGAAAATGTCCTTATCTTCTCACGGAATGTATCGTTTACATTGTGAATCATAAATGTATCAATGCAAACCGCCGATTCTCCGTTCCTCGGTTGTGAATCGCGTTGCAAACTGCGGGAACATTCGCATGGAAGTTTCATTGGAACTTACGCTTATATGCATCGGTGAAATTGATATTGGTGGAAACACGCAGATACGAATTAAACTTGTCTCGATGAAATCGTCGTTCGTCGCTTTTTTTCCCTCTTCTTCCTGCGTTAACGCGGTTCGATGAATAAAATGGTTTAATAATAATATTTACCGTATCGAGAAAATGCGTGAAGTTTCTCGATTGACTCGTAATGATCTGCAAAAATTATTAATGGGATAAATCATATTTAGATCATGTTTAAATTCACCGATATGATCAAAAGTTTCATAAATCGTATAATATGTTTATTAAAATTTTGATATTTAATATAAATATATTTTGTACATTTAATTGTCGCGTCAATATTGAAAATTCTCAATAATTCTCTAACATTTATTTTAAACACGAATCAATGTATTTCTCCGTGAATAAATTTATTACAAAAATTAGTCGAGCTCGATCGAGTGGAGGGTAGCAATCGTTTAAAATTCCCGCCTTTTTTCGCGCCTTTCATTTTTTCGAAAGGCGGGAATTTCAAACGATCGCGTGGCGGCAAATTCGAACAGTCGCTATCTCTCGCATCTCTCGCCTCGATCGTTTCTCGCATTTTTTCTCGACGAGAAATGGAAAATCTCAGCAAAAAGAAAAGAAGAAGAAAAAAAGATCATCGCGATCTTGTCACGTGCATAAGACGAAAAGGCTCGCGTTGGCCTT